AAAAAAAAAAAAAAAGACAATATATGTGAAAAGGTTAGGTTTTGTAAATCCTATAAGACTTAGTATCTAGATTTAGTTGGTGTTTATTGCTTGTACTTTCTCATTGGAATGACAGACACTGTTGGGCAGCAGAAGCAATGACCACTTTTGGGAACAGCAATTAGATGGCTTAGATTGGACCGCTAAAGACATCCTGGCATTTTTGGCCAAGCACCCAGAGGATGTCCAGTCTGCCAATGGCTCTGTATACACCTGGAGAGAAGCCTTCAATGAGACCAACCAGGCAATTCAGACCATCTCTCGTTTCATGGAGGTGAGGATATGATCCATGGATCATTTGGAAAAGTCTTTGGCTTCTTTCTCTGAGATGGTCCAATGAGGTTTGGATTGGAAGAAAGTTGAGAAATAATGTCTAGTCTTATTTCCAGTAGTATCCCTCAAACCTAATACAGGGCTCGGTGTACAAAAGGCACTCAATAAAAGTTGAATGACTGAACATGTGAACAAAACAGACCTAACTCTAGCTTTATTCTATTTCCCTCAAGAGTGTTTTTGTCCATCGTCTTGTAAGTTTTCTGGAGCTTTTGTAGCTCAAAACCTAATGACAAGAAAACATGCCCTTAAAAAGGCATTATTTATTAAATTTATATAAAATCTAATAGGATAGATTACATTTTAAAAATCTAGTTTTAAAAATTATGTGACTTAATAGGGACAAATAAGGTGTTTTTTGTGAGCGTGTGGCTTTTTGTTTTGTTTTTGTTTTGTGTTTTGTGTTTTTGTTTTTGTTTTGTTTTGGTCTGTTTACTTGGTTAGTTACGATTCAGAATTGCCAAGAAGACCAAGGAAAATGAGGTATGATCATTGTTTCAACCTCTTTCCCTCCACAAAAATCAATATAAGTAACTTATCTCTAAGTACTTCCAGCATTACTCTTAAATTGCAGCTAAAAAACCAAAGACTCCATTCTCAATTGAATATTAGAAAATGGCTTTGGAGAGGATGAGTGCATGGGGATAAAAATGGCTCGCAGTCAGCGTGTCCCTCTTAGGACAGAGTCTGCCTTGGCCACAGTGTATCATCCTGGCACCAGTGCTCTTATGAAGGCTGTTCCTCTTCCGTCAGTGTGTCAACCTGAACAAGCTCGAACCGATAGCAACAGAAGTCCGGCTCATCAACAAGTCCATGGAGCTGCTGGATGAGAGAAAGTTCTGGGCTGGGATCGTGTTCACCGGAATCACTCCTGGCAGTGTTGAGCTGCCCCATCATGTCAAGTACAAGATCCGAATGGATATTGACAATGTGGAGAGGACAAATAAAATCAAAGATGGGTGAGTTCAGTCCTGCCACACCAGCCAGTTTTGGGGACAACAAGAGCAGTTATTATGACTAGAGGCACTTCAGTTTAACTAATAACTTGGTAGAAATTCCCCCCAAAAAACCCTCAAATTGGTGGCATGATTTTGGTGAAAGTGGCACATTCATTGCTGGAGACTGTTATTTCAAAGGTCATAAAATACCATCTTTTGATTCAGCATTCCCACTCAAGAGAAATAATCCCACGGCATTACATCAAGAGGAAAAAAAAGAAAAAAGGCTTTAGGTTCCCTGCACTAGCATGATCCATTTTTACAAAAAAGGGCAAATAACTGAGGGTTGATGGGGGTGGGAGGGAGGGTAGGGTAGGTGATGGGCATTGAAGAGGGCATCTTTTGGGATGAGCACTGGGTGTTATATGGAAACTAATTTGACAATAAATTTCATATAATAAAAAAAAAGGGTCAAATAACCAGTATAAAAGGGAATGACTAAGCAAAATTTGGTATGTCCACTTAATGCAGTGTCAGGTAGCAAACGAGGGGGAGAAAACCAAACCAACAGGTGGTATGCCCACTCTGATTATATGTGTTTCAGCATAAGTGCACATGATCGCTAAGACCAGAAAATAAGATGCAAAAATGAATATAGTGGCTTTGTAATGGTGGCAGGATTGTGAGTGATTGGTTTTTAAAATTTTTTATAATTAATTTATTTTAAAATGGTTATTTATTTTGAGAGTGTGGGTGGGGGAGGGGCAGAGAGGGGGAGAGAGAGAATCCCAAGTAGGCTCCATGCTGTCAGCACAGAGCTGGACACAGGGATCGAGCTCATGAACCCTGAGATCATGACCTGAGCCAAAATCAAGAGTTGTACACTTAATTGACTAAGCCACCCAGGGGCCCCTGGCTTCTTTTGGTGTTATGGTTCTAATGAATATTTGATCACCAGTGGTTTGGTTTTAGGTACTGGGACCCAGGTCCTCGGGCTGACCCCTTTGAGGATATGCGGTACGTCTGGGGGGGCTTTGCCTACTTGCAAGATGTGGTGGAACAGGCAATCATCAGGGTGCTGACTGGCACTGAGAAGAAAACTGGTGTTTATGTGCAGCAGATGCCGTACCCCTGTTATGTCGATGACATGTAAGTTACCATCTTCTTGTAACTGGTTAACTCAATCCCTAGAGAGAGTATATATGCAACATACATACACATATACACAAGCATGTGCATACATACCAAAGGAGATAGGATGCTTTGATTTTATTTGTTTTACATGCGTGCTGATTTGGTCAAGAAAATCTTTTTTGAAATTCAGTGAAGATTTTAGGAAATAAGATGCCAGATGGAGGTAGTTGACTGTTCCAGCCATATCACTGACATGAATATGCACATACTGGTAATCTCCCCCCTCCCCCTTTTTTAAATGTTTGTTTATTTTGAGAGAGAGGAGGGGCAGAGAGGAAGGGATAGAGAGAATCTCAAGCAGGCTCCATGCTGTCAGCACAGAGCCGGACACAGGGCTCCATCTCATAAACCCGTGAGACCATGACCTGAACCGAAATCCAGAGTCAGACGCCTCACTGACTGAGCCACCCAGGTGTCCCTCCTTCCTTTTTTATCCATAGTTACCAGTACTTACATGTATATTTTTTTATATTAAAAAATTTTTTTTATTTTTGAGAGAGAGACAGAGTATAAGTGGGGGAGGGGCAGAGAGAGGGGGAGACACAGAATCTGAAGCAGGCTCCAGGCTCCGAGCTGTCAGGTCAGAGCCTGATGCAGAGCTCGAACCCATGAACCATGAGATCATGACCTGAGCCGAAGTCAGATGCTTAACCAACTGAGCCACCCGGGTGCCCCCAGCACTTACATTTTTTTTTACAACCTTCCCGTTTTGGTTAAAGTTTGCTCAAAGAGCAAATTTAAAGTGTTGTGACAAACACATGCAGGCACATGCACACAGATACACATTCCCCAAACACGGAAACCGTGATCTAGACCCGTAAAGAGTGACTGCATATGAATTTGTCCACTCCCTCTTTATAAGTGGTGAATCACATTTTGAAACAATCCAAATAAGACTGAACAAGGCCTTTTTTATCTTAGACTTTAGGTAATCTTTTGGTACTTAGTCACTAAGCTGCCAAGACCTCGTGGGAACTGTGCGTTTGGATCTAATGATTTCTTGTAAGAAAGAACAGGCAGAGGTGTAGTTATTTCAGGCATCTGAGATATGTAATGTTTCTTCCAAGTTCTGGAAATTCTCTTATTCTCTGGTGTAACTGTGTAGAGATCAGAGTGCTGAAGGAGCGGGGAGCCTCTTCTTACGTTTGTTGTCTGCTTTGCATTGAGCAACGATTTCCTCATGTGGCTCCCTCTAGCTTTTTCCAAGTCATCCTGAATTATCTTGTATTTTACCTTCAGAAAGATTAGCCAGAGTTTTCCAAAGACCCCCCCACCCCCACACACTGCCCAACCCCTCATCTAAGATTTACTCTAGGAAGGATGTCTTAAGATGAGGACAGGATAGGAGCTTAATGCATTAAGGGCATTTGCCTGTTGTCACATAGCAGATAAGTGCATAAATAGTAAAGCTGGGACTTGAGCCTGGAGTTCCAGGGTCCAAAGTCTGTGTCCCTTTTACATCACAGTACCGCATTTCCTATTCTAGTTTGGAATTTGAAATATTACTGACAAGAGCTGCCTGGAGTCTGTTTCTACATTATCTGTGATCAAACTTGTACAAGTCAAAAGTGAGATGACCTTGGAGATACGGAACTTTTGTGAGAGAAGGAGTTGGTTTTTTGTTTCTTTAGTACTTTAAAACAACCTGCATCTCGTAGTTACTTCGTGGCTAAAGCAGACCCCAAAGAAACTCCACTTGGCGGCACTCCGTTGGTTTGTCAGTATGTTGAGCTCCTCATGAAGCTTTGATAACCCGTACGTTTCACAGTCTGGAGGGTCTGCCCCTCGTGTGCTCCCTCTTGGGGCTTCCTCCCGCACGCAGGCTTGGGGACGCTGGCCTCTGAGCCTGATTCTCACTCCCCGTAATTCTCCTCCTCCCTTCCGTGGGGCCTCTAGCTTCCTGCGGGTGATGAGCCGGTCGATGCCTCTGTTCATGACGCTGGCCTGGATCTACTCCGTGGCTGTGATCATCAAGGGCATCGTGTATGAGAAGGAGGCGCGGCTGAAGGAGACCATGCGCATCATGGGCCTGGACAATGGCATCCTCTGGTTCAGCTGGTTCATCAGCAGCCTCATTCCTTTGCTCGTGAGCGCCGGCCTGCTGGTGGTCATCCTAAAAGTAAGGCTGCCACACCAGCCCCCTGCTGCCAGGGAGCTCCTGCACAGCCAACATCCGCTGTGTGAGGAGAAAAGCCAAGAGTATTTGGGAGGGAAGGGGTCATACGTGTCCATCTTTTGAAATTTCCTCGTTCTATATTCGGGAAGAGTGAGGCCCAAAAAGGGGCAATGACTTGCCCAGGGGTCAGCCCAGCTGGCTAGCGGCTGAGCAGGGCTAGAACCCAGGGATCTTGCTTCCCAGGTAGGTACACACTTACTGTGCCATGACATCTCCTTGGCAGCGGTCCAGGCAGCATCTGAGAGCTGTGCATTTCCTTAGGCGTATTGGGTAGTGATTCTGCCAGAATTTTTAAAAACCATAATCTGAGAGATGTGTGTTATTGCAGCTTAGGTTTTTCTGGAAACAGAGGCTGAGAGTTTGGTGAATGGGTATTTATTAGGGATCAACATCTATGGGAGGGATGGGGAGTATGCAAGATTGAACAGAGAGAGGAGGCATGAAATGCAGTGCAGGACCAGCCCCACGGGCACTCTGGAGCATACACAGCTTGCTGGAATTGTTCCTTATTGAGCTGAAATACCCAGCCCCAAGGTCTCCCTCCTGACACCCCACGCCCCATACCCAGGCCCCTCAATCAATCATTGGAATGATGTGCCCCAGGGCCAGGCAGCTTTCTGTGGCTGTGACAGACCCAGAGGAGTTGACACCTAGTTGACCGCTGTCTGCTGTGACTGCCAGGCAACGTGCTCCCCCTCCAAAGGGACTCTGGGCAGCGGTATTCTGTGCCCACCCCATATATTAATAGGTTTGTATACTAATTTTTTTCCTTACAACCATTTGTTTTAAGGATGCATCATGTAAAAATAAATGTTTTCAAAGTGAGGGGAGTGCAAAGGGATAGGAACTAACATTTAGTTGAATATTAGCTACTGTTAGTTACAAATGAGCACTTAGTGATTGCGAAGCACTGTTGAGAGCACATCACCTGTGCTTTCTTATTATACCTTCACTAACGCATTTAACCTGTAAGCAGATGAGGCCAAGGAAAGTTAAGGGCTTCACCGAGGTCACCCAACAGTAGGACAGAGCGGTGCTTTCTAAAATCAACCTCCTCTCATCATCTGATATCTGACTGCAAGGGTGGAGCTCCATGGTGGAGGCAGTGGTCCTGTGGCTGGTGGGTAAGAACTGCTCTGGGACCACATGCTGGCTGGTCCTGCTCAGATACACCCAGATGAACTGGGCAGAGAGAGACTTGAAAGGTCCAGTCCACAAGATTTGGATGATTGTGGGAATGCAGAACCCATGGCAGGTTACCAAGGGAGAATAGTAAGATTTCCTGGCCATTTTCCATGGCTTTTGGAGGGGGAAGTCCTAGAATGCTGTCTCCCACAACTCTTTCTTTGTGCTGAGGGAGAGTCCTAGTCCTTATAAGAGGAGAAACCAGTGGTTTCTTGAAACCAGTGGTATTTCTTGGAGAAACAAAGAACAAAATTTTCCGTTGGGATGGGTCTGACTGAATCTCAGCCCTGGACTCCTCTATTCCTGCCTCTGTTGTGTGGTCTTGGGCTAGTCACCATCCTGCTAGTTCAGCCTCAGTTTCCTCATCAGAACAATGGGCAGTGCTGTTCCCCTATGTTATCTCTGAGATGTGTGAGTAAGCCCTGGCTTCTTCCCATAGATGGTGCAAGGATGTGCTTGCTTGTTGGGGCAGCACAGTTAATAGGTCTCTTCTTTCCCAGTTAGGAAACCTGCTGCCCTACAGCGACCCCAGCGTGGTGTTTGTCTTTCTGTCGGTGTTTGCTGTGGTGACCATCCTGCAGTGCTTCCTGATCAGCACACTCTTCTCCAGAGCCAACCTGGCGGCAGCCTGCGGGGGCATCATCTACTTCATGCTCTACCTGCCCTATGTCCTGTGCGTGGCGTGGCAAGACTATGTGGGCTTCACGCTCAAGATCTTCGTGGTGAGCAACCACCCTTGGGCAGGAGCTGCAGGCACAGCCGCAGGGTGTTTGTAGTCCAAGGCTGAGAACAGGAGAAGAGTGTGTGTGTATCTGGGGGTGGGGGTCGGTGGGCATGGGGTGCAAGATTGCTGAGCCTTTGGGGCATCTTTGGAAGCATAAAATTCTAAAAGTTTTACGCTCCATCATGCATGCATTTCTGAAATGTGTGTGCATAATGAGCAGTTAAAAATAGAATCCTTTTATATGCTGTTAGTGAGCCCACTACCCTCAAGGGATCTGTAGGTGAATACTTCCATATCTTGTAGTTGATCCATTTTGCAAATTCAAATTTCTCTGGGTGGAATTTACATTAGAAATAATAGAAAATGAGACACAAGGAGATGGATAAGTGACTTTTGCCTCCTTCTCACAGAGCCTGCTGTCTCCTGTGGCTTTTGGGTTTGGCTGTGAATACTTCGCCCTTTTTGAGGAGCAGGGCATTGGGGTGCAGTGGGACAACCTGTTTGAGAGCCCCATGGAGGAAGATGGCTTCAACCTCACCACGTCAGTCTCCATGATGCTGTTCGACACCTTTATCTATGGAGTGATGACGTGGTACATCGAGGCTGTCTTTCCAGGTACATGGGGCTTCCACACTGCTTTAGCCATCTGCTAGGGAAATGTAATTTCTAGCTGAAGAGCTCCCCTTGTTTGTGCTGGAATTTCTACAGAGCTCAGTGCTCCCTGGAAAGTGGCTAGGGCTTTAGACCCAAGGCAAGCCATCCAAGGAGAAGCAGCTGATGCTGAAAGTATAACTCTTGCTACTGACATAGCTCTCATTTCTCAAGCACTGTGCGCCAGGTGCTGTGCAAAATGTTAGGTATACTTTGGAATTTACTCTCACAAACCTCTTTTGCAAATGAGGGAACTGTGAATCAAAAAAGTACCTTGCCTGGCGACACACAGCTGGTAAGTGTTGGTCCTTGAGGACAAATCTGGTTGGGTAACACTGGGTCAGCTGATCCAGAAGATTCCTCCTTCTAGTGCTGGCCCAGTTCTCTAATTCTGTGTCCCCAGAATTCCCACCAGGAGACGTTCTTGTTGCCTGAGTACTGCTTGTGAATAGTAAGAGATGTTGGCTCTAAGCCCTTACCTGTGATTCAATCAAATGAGCATTCATAAAAATTCATTTTCATACTTCCCTGAATAAATCTCCTTGACCAAGACCTGCCTTGGATACATTTTTATATAGATCAAATTCTGAGAGAGTGAAGTTTAACATTTTCTGGTTCACCTGATTTTCCTCTAAGGGAGTGTATATGAAATGTTTATGACCTGTACCTGGGCTTCCGGCATGGAAGATGCAATTTTGTATCATACAGATCTGGATTCAGAGTCTGAGTTCTTAACTTACTGGCTGAGTGACCTTGGGTAGGCTACTTATCCCTCAGTGTCCACATCTATAAAATGGGGTTGATAACCTATCTCATGGGGTTGTTTGAGGATTCAGAGAGGTGTAGAATGTATGTTACATATAGTCGGTCTCAGCAAATATTAGCTCCCCCTACTGCCACCTCCATCCCAGTCTGTCCCATCTCCAGAAGCTGTGTCAAGGAGGGAGTAGTTCTGGCTGTGATACCTTGGGAATGCTAGCATGTTGCCAAGCATGTCTTACATCTTGTTTTTTATCTTTGCTTTCAGGCCAGTATGGAATACCCAGGCCCTGGTATTTTCCTTGCACCAAATCCTACTGGTTCGGTGAGGAAAGCGATGAGAAGAGCCACCCTGGTTCCAGCCAGAAGGGAATATCAGAAAGTAAGTGCTGCTGACCTGCCTGAGCACCACCCCCACCACCACTCCACCCCCGTGCTGTCAGGGGCAAAGGATGGCTTTTGCCCCTTAGAAAATGTAAAACCACTCTAGGGGTAGAGAAATCACATGCAGTGCATCTTTCCAAATTCTCCCATGCCAGTTGTGTCCAGTGCTGTTGTTGACTTATTGGGGAGTCGCCATCTGGTTCCCTGAGGGACATTGCCTTTGTTTTCTTGGCTTCTAGGAAAGAGGCCCTTGATCTCTATACTTCCACACATATACCTTCCTCCAACACACACTCTTCATGATAAATTAATAGCTAAGAAGAAGAGTTAAAGACAGCTGTCATTGTGGAACCATAACCTCATTGCCTGCCTTGTCATAGTGATAGATATATGAACCTGTGTAGGCTGACACCAAGTGGCTGCCAGAGCTCAGTCTGTGCTTCTTGATATTCTCACCCCTCATTACCCAGAGCCCTAATCCTCTCCTGGCTCCTGACAGTAGGTGGAGGTGCCCACAGTTTAGCAAAAGCTCTGCCTTCTGGGCTGTTGGCTCAGGTTCTTGGAGAGAAAATATCTTTTGTGTTCAGTGTGGCTTCCTAAGTAGTTAGTCAGTCCCTTTTCTGCTGATCTCTTCTTTGCCTTCCCCTAGTTGCCAGTGGAAAAGTCTGACGTTCCTTAGCAAGCACACTAGACAACTTACAACCCGCCTTGCCCACTGTCCCAGCCTCTTCTGCTGTTCCTCCTCTTCTTGCCCAACCTCCTGTCTACACCTAATTCTGAATCAATCACCTAGAACTGCTCACAGTCGCCAGGACATGTCATGCTCTCCCACATCGCCGTGCCTTTGTATGTGCTGTGTCCTCTCATGGATGATCCCTTTCTTTAACTTGCCTGCCCTCTAAATTACTACTCCTTCCTCAAGATCTAGTTTCATACCCCTTCCCCTGTGCGGTTTTTCTAGAGTCCTAGGTGGTCAGTCACTTCCTCTTCTGAGATCGCATGACTCTGAAAAACAAACAAAAAGCCTTTTTATTTAAAATAATTACAGACTCATGGAAGTTGCAAAAAAACAGAATGGGGGTGGGAGACAGTTCCCTTGTGCCTTTCATTCAGTTTCCTCCAGTAGTAACACCTTGCATAACTATAGCACAGTATCAGAACCAGGAAACTGACATTGGTACAGCTCCTAGATCTTCTTCAGATTGGACCAGTTTTACATGGACTCATTCATGTGTGTATTTAGTTCTGTGCACTTTGTCACACGCAGATCCATGTAACCACTAGCTCTGTCAAGATGCAGAACTGTTCTGTGAACACAGACCCCCTCATTCTGCCTTTTGAAAGCCGTAGTCACCTCCACCTCTCTTCCTCCCCGGTCCCTGACACCTGCTGGCCACTAATCTGTTCTTCACTTGTACATTTTATTATTTCTAGAATGTGATCTAAATGGAACCATATAGTATGTAACATTTTGAGATTGACTCTTTGTCACTCAGCATAATTCCCCTGAGATCCATCCAAGTTGTGATGTGTATCAGTAGTTTGTTCCTTTTTATTGCTGTGAAGTGTTGCCCGGTCTGGCTATTGCTCAGTTCCATGGCATTTTTCGATGTGTTTTTTAAACAATTTTTAGCCTTCTATATTTTAGTTTTTTAAGTTTATTTTGTGAGAGGTGCACTGTGTATGAGCAGGGGGAGGGAGGGAGAGAGAGAGAGAGAGAGAGAGAGAGAGAGAGAGAGAGAGAGAATCCCAAGCAGGCTCCGTACTGATGTGGGAGCTTGATGCAGGGCTTAATCCATGAACCGTGAGATCATCGTCTGAGTGGAAATGAAGACTTGGATAGTTAACCAACTGAGCTACCCAGGCACCCCAGCCTCGTATATTTTAAATGCTTGTCAAATCTTTTTCTCCCAATAGACTGTGAATTCTCCTTTATCAGTGAATTCCTATCACCAACACTACTGCCCAAATAGACCCTAAATAAATGTTAGTTCCCTGCTTGCCTGAGAAACCAGAACTATCCAAGGACAGTTCTGAAAGACAGGCACATCCCCTCTGTCTTTGTGCTCCACTTGTCGGTATTTTCTGTGAGTTCATTCCCGTCTTCTGCATTCTGACAGTTTGCATGGAGGAGGAACCCACACACCTGAAGCTGGGCGTGTCCATTCAGAACTTGATGAAGGTTTACCGAGATGGCATGAAGGTGGCTGTTGATGGCCTGGCCTTGAATTTCTATGAGGGCCAGATTACCTCCTTCCTGGGCCACAATGGAGCTGGGAAGACCACCACCATGTAAGAAGAGGGTGCGGCTCTCAGAATCAGCCACAGGAAGGTTCTGTAGTGCAGTTAGAAATCCATACGTAAGGACGTTGCACTGGTCACTGGGGCAGAGGTAGAGCACATGAGGAGCTGATGAATGGCTCATATTACTTAATCACAAGAGTGAGTTCCCGGTGCTGATTTTTGCTAGATGTTCTTTCTTAAGAGTAAAACTGCCTGGGAGCCTCTTGATGACCTTTCCCATTGAGTTCTCAGAATTCTGTACTGTTGCTGGAACATGAGGTTGTGACAGCTCTCAGAAAGATTCTCTTGAACCAGTTTGGTTAGAACTCTGAAGCAGGAATGTGGGAAGAAAGATTTGATATGTTGGAGAGAAGTAGTGATTTCCAGGAGCTCTGTCGCTAAGGAGGTATGGCCAGACAGCTGGCTGTATGACTGCCCTCCCTGGGACCCATAGGGACCTATAAAGACCTTACAGTGGGCAGCCTCAGAAGGGAGCACGGGCCATAAACACCAGAGTTAGCCTCAGTGACTTTCAGTGTGGTCCCTCAACCATTGCTAAGGATATGTCTTTGGGGATAATGACCTTTTCCTATATGTCGTCGTAGTCTTTTTTTTTTTTCTTTCTTTCTTTTTTTATTAATGCAAAATCAATGTATGAACATGGCAGATTATATTTATTTATTTTCATATTTTTAGTTTTTTTAATGTTTATTTTTGAGAGAGAGAGAGAGACAGAGCACAAGCAGGGGAGAGACAGAGAAAGGGGAAGACATAGAATCCAAATCAAACTCTAGGCTCTAAGCTGACAGTACAGAGCCCAGTGCGGGGCTCAAACTCATGAGCTGTGAGATCATGACCTGAGCTTAAGTCAGACACTTAACCGACTGAGCCACCCAGGCTCAGATAATTTTTAAAAGGCGTGCAGAAGTCATACTGCCTAACACAAAAATGATTTTTATCTTTGAATAACTTGTTCTGGTTTGTCCATTTCTCATGGATATGATTTTAGACTTACAAAATATTTGTTTCAAACTGTACTTCCTTTTTCAAAAAATTTTTAAAGGTTATTATATTGAGAGGGGAAGCATGAGTGTGTGCACAAGCAGGGGAGGGGCAGAGGGAGGAAGGAGAGACAGAATCCCAAGCAGGCTCCACACCGTCAGCACAGAGCCCAATGTGGGGCTTGAACTCACGGACTGTGAGATCATGTCCTGAGCTGAGATCTAGAGTTGGACGCTTAACTGACCGTGCCACCTGGGCACCCCTCAAATTGTACTTTCCACTGCAAATTGGAATCTTCATTGAAAAACACTTCTCTTGATAGTGCTGTTTCCAACACATAGTCTCACTCCTAGTTCACTAAAGCAAAGACTTCTTTGCTTCGTGCAGGGCAGCTAGGGTCTGTTAGGAAGCAATGGGGGTGTGGGACGGTTGCTACCTCTGCCGTAGCTGTCCTGACTCTGCAGCCTGGCCTGGAGCATTTCGGAGGAGAGGGGTTAACACTGACTCTTGCACTTGGAAATTTGTGTCCTCAGGTCAATCCTGACGGGGTTGTTCCCTCCCACCTCGGGCACTGCCTACATCCTGGGAAAAGACATTCGCTTTGAGATGAGCACCATCCGGCAGAACCTGGGGGTCTGTCCCCAGCACAATGTGCTGTTTGACATGTGAGTACCAGCAGCACTGTGAGAAGGAAGCCCTCTCTGGATGTGTGTGTCCTGAGTCATGGGTGGAGTGGGACTTAAGCATTTTACCTTTTGTGAGGGTGGTGGGTCTCACCTCCCTGCACTCTGAGACCTGGTTGTCCATTGTTGTAGGAAAAGCTGGAGGTGATTGTTGGGTGGGGGAGGGGTCCCATCAGTCTAGCTGGTGGATGTGGACTTGGGAAATAGTGCTGTCCATTGCTGACATTTTAGAGGGCCAATTAGCCCATCCTCTCTCTCACCACATGCCTCCTCGATGCCAGCTGTGGCTCTAACGCCCGGAACTTAGCAGTGCCTCAAGGCCTTTGTCACGATGGCCCAGCATTTCCTGCTCAAGGCTTGGCTTCCATTCACGTTGCCCTGTCTGCAGTTCAGGCCCACAGGGAGCCCTTGTGCTGGAGCAGAGAAAGGTCTGAGCTCTGTGACTTTGGGCAAGGACTTCTCCCCTTCTGGGCCCCAATTTCCTCGTACTTAATGCAAGCAGCTCAGGCTCATGTCCTCCACAGGGACCTCCTTTCTTGTGTAGTGTGAGGTCCTTTGAGGTTCACGAGGGCTGCTCCAGGTGATTGCCAAGCCAGCTTCTTGGTTGATGGGGCTGCAGGGTGGGCCCTTTGAGGACCTGAGATTGAAAGTTGCAGCTGCCTGATGTGTGGTGGGCAGGCCTGCTGAGAATTGGTAGGAAGGGACCTGTCACATGACAGTTTTGGCTTCTTCAGCAGCTTAGGTGTTGCTTACTGTTGTTCTGTCTTGATTCTTCCTATAATTTTTCAGAAGTTTATAAAGTTAGAAAAGGTTTGGGGGCGGTGGAAACATGCCTATTCTGTTCTGGGTCAGGAAGCACTGTATTCTGATGCAGCCTGGGGGATGCAGATCTGACCTGCCCTCTGTCCCCAGGCTGACTGTGGAAGAACACATCTGGTTCTATGCACGTCTAAAGGGGCTCTCAGAGAAGCATGTGAAAGCAGAGATGGAGCAAATGGCCCTGGATGTTGGTTTGCCTCCCAGTAAACTGAAAAGCAAAACGAGTCAGCTCTCAGGTGATTTCCCCTCCTCCAACAACCTCCCCCACATGCACACACCAGGGAAACAACAGCTGCCCCAGTGTCCCCATAGGGGTGGTGAGTAGGTCATAAATGGGTCCCTGGCTTGTCCCCAAGTAGGTGCCTTCATTTGTCCCTCAATACCTCTGCCTTTGCTGTCTAGGGCTAGTTCTGGAACATATCTCTCTCTCTGTCTCTTAGGTGGAATGAAGAGAAAGCTGTCTGTGGCTTTGGCCTTTGTTGGGGGATCCAAGGTTGTCATTCTGGATGAGCCCACAGCTGGTGTGGACCCTTACTCCCGCAGGGGAATATGGGAGCTACTGCTGAAATATCGACAAGGTAGCTGATGTGTATTTATTTTGAGTTATGGACTGGGAGGGAGGGATGGAGAAACTCTTGAGAAGTATGGCTGGGGCTGTGTCTCATGGCTGTTGCTGCTAGAGCAACAGAATTGCTTCTCAAGGAAAATGTCAGACTTCTTTTCTTTTAAAAATTTTTTTCAGTGTTTATTTTTGAGAGAGAGAGAGAGAGAGAGTGAGCAGGGGTGGGGCAGAGAGAGAGGGAGACACAGAGTCCAGAGCAGGCTCCAGGCTCTGAGCTGTGAGCCCAGAGCCCAATGTAGGGCTCGAACTCGTGAACTGTGAGATCATGACCTGAGCCGAAATTGGATGCTTAACCGACTGAGCTACCAAGCGCCCCTCAGACTTCTTTTCTTAAAGCTCTGTGCTCACCCATGGTATGTATGTGGAAGTCCTGCTTTACAAGACACTTAACATTTAGGCTTCCTGATCTAGGGGCCAGAAAGAAAAGTAATGGGGATAACGGGCGTGGTCGCTAGAGCTACCTCTAGCATAGAACTCAGATGTGTCTATGTTAACTATGTTCCCCTGTAGGTTGAGACTGCTGAGAACGGAGGCTGTGTCTTTGTTCATCTCTGTTCCCAGCATGGTGCCATATATTTATGGGTTGAAAAAGTAGATGAGCAAATGAGGATCATGGACTTTGGGGCCAGCTCTAGCTGGCCCTGAGAACTTGGAAAAGTCGTTTAACTTGTCTTAGTTTCTTTACCTATCATAACAGCAGTGCCTGCTTCATAGAGGATTAAGTTACTTGAGAATGCATGCAGATCCCTCTCACGCTGCCTGACATGTAGCACTTTCCCAAATGAATGTTATGTTCTTTGTCCTGTGAGGATGCAGAATCTGTGAGGTTGACTGTTCCATCTTCGGGGTCATGGCCACCCAGGCTTCCAGGTCCTTCTGCCTTGGTTACCGCTGCTAAGATTTCTGCAGTTCCAGCTGCTTCAGTCAGTGAGAACCAACAGGCGTCACTAGTCCCACGTCCTTGTGTTTGTGTTTGGCAGGCCGGACCATTATTCTTTCCACACACCACATGGATGAAGCAGACATCCTGGGGGACAGGATTGCCATCATTTCCCATGGGAAGCTGTGCTGTGTGGGCTCCTCCCTGTTTCTCAAGAACCAGCTGGGAACAGGCTACTACCTGACCCTGGTCAAGAAAGATGTGGAATCCTCCCTCAGTTCCTGCAGAAATAGCAGTAGCACTGTGTCATACCTGAAGAAGGTGAGTTGCATTTTCAGTGCTGGGCTTGTACTGGGTCCAGGGAGTGTATTCAGGGCTGGTCGGCTGTGAGTGGCTTGTTCAGTTCCACCCCACTCTGCCGCGTGGGGGTCACCATCGCCCTATGCTATGGTCCCTTTGAAATCACATCATACTTTGTATGTGGAAAGCTCAGGGGGCTTGTGTTCCTGCGGTCCGAACTTGGTTGAATCCCACTTCCTGTTTCCTATGGAGGCACAGTGAGTGATAAAGAAGGTCCTTAGAGGGCTTTATTATATCGAAGGAAAAAGACTTGCTGAGAGTGAGGAACCCTATTTCCAGAAAGTCCTGCTGTTGCTGCTTATTACCTCTAGATCTCATTGACCTTCACTTTTAACTTACAAAACAGCAAATATTTATTGAGCACTGATTTCATGCCTGACACTCACCCTAGCAGATTTTGGGCATAAAAGAATATAATGATAATAGTTAATTCTTTGTAGCCTTGTTATCTTACAAACTTTTTTTTTTTTAAACTTCTATCATCTCAAAGTACAGAGCAACTTTGGGAGGGAAGGTATTGTGATTATCACCCCAGGTTAGGTTAAGCGAGGCTTGTAGGGATTGTGGAGTTTATTCAAGGTCATCCAGCAGGTAAATAACAGAGGTGGCACCAGAACCCAATAACCAGGTATGTTTTTTCCTCTGTTCTTCAGTCTATGCCTGAGATTGATTTGATTTATGTGTTGGAACCAGTGGCACCTAAAACATTTACATCCTAATCTTCAACTCCTGTCTGCTTATTTACCTTTTAACTAGTGCCTGGTTACTCAAAGTGTGGTCTGAGGACTAGCAGCATTGGGATTACCTGGGAGCTTGTTAGAAATGCAGAAATGTGGGCCCAACTCTGACCCACTAAATCAGAATCTGCATTTTAACAAGATCCCCAGGTGACTAAACACAGATTAAAGCCGGAGAAGCACTGGACCAATTAGCCAGGTGAATCCCATGTCTACAAAGGTCAGTAAATGCCTGGCTACAGCATTCATTGGCAGGCCACGGTCCCATGGACAGCTCTGCTTCTTGACCTCCCATCCACACAGCACATGCATGTCAGACAGTGGCTTCAGAAGCCATGGCTGCCCTGTTCGTTGCTTCCTAGGAGAAGCCTTTCCAGTTCACACACAATAGAGCCTCATGGAAGCCCTCCCTGGCGAAGGTGCTGGTGGCTGTACCTTGCTCGGTCCCTGACCCATTCTCACCTCCTTCTTTGCCATCAGGAGGACAGTGTTTCTCAGAGCAGTTCTGATGCTGGCCTGGGCAGCGACCATGAAAGTGACACGCTGACCATCGGTAAGGATTCTGGGGTTTCTTATTCAGGTGGTGCCTGAGCTTCCCCCAGCTGGGCAGAGTGGAGGCAGAGGAGGAGAGGTGCAGAGGCTGGTGGCGCTGACTCAAGGTTTGCTGCTGGGCTGGGGCCGGGTGGCTGTGGGAGAAGGGTGCAGCTTGGTGGCAGATTGGCTTAATGCTTGCTGGGGAGCCTGGGGCTCGGCCTGGGAGCTGGCAGGGCAGTGTCCCCAAGAAGCTGACATGATTGGGGGTCGGGGGGTTGGCCCCCTGGGGAATGGATCTGGCTGGACCCTGGAAACCAGGGATGAGTTGCTGAGGATCACACTATGGGGAGAGATTGGAGCTCAGTAGTGAAGGAGAGCAAAAACTCAGAAGATGGAGAGTAGCCTGCTGTGTCTTCCTTAGGAGGTACATATAGGAGGCCAGCGTCACCAGTAACACATATGGAGCAGAAGGCTTTACTGTGTCTGTCTATGCCCAGTCCTAACAACTGGCTTTTTCCAGGAAGGTGTCTCCTTCCATGAACTGTTTGATTAGCCCCTTTATTGAGGTAAATGAAGGAGCCTCCTTTAGAAGGTTAGGGAAGGGTGAAGGATCCTTTACCTCTACTCAAGTTTTCCATTGAAGAATCCTAGAGTTGAGGCAACAGACACAAAGCTTTTAACCTCAGAAAGTCTTCTGCACGCCCACCCATCCGCCCTTCCATCCTTCCACCCACCCATAATGTACTGAGAACCTACAGTGTGCCTGGCTTTGGTGATAAAAGGGTGAATAAGACCCAGTCCTCACTCCCAGAAACTCTCAGGCCAGAGATGAACATGTGGACTGACTTCAGTATCTGGGACAGGTATCCTGTGTGGGCAGCTAGCTTCTGAGGAGTAGGCATGGGGAGGCCTCTGAGCCAGCTGAGCTGTCACTGTGCTTTGGTCCCTATAGATGTATCCGCTATCTCCAACCTCATCAGGAAGCATGTGGCTGAGGCCCGGCTAGTGGAAGACATTGGGCATGAGCTGACTTATGTGCTGCCCTATGAAGCTGCAAAAGAGGGGGCCTTTGTGGAACTCTTCCATGAGATTGATGACCGGCTCTCAGACCTGGGCATCTCTAGTTATGGCATCTCAGAGACTACGCTGGAAGAAGTAAGTTAAGTGACTGTCAGAGTAGAGTGGAGCCCACGGTCCCAAGGCCGGACAGGCAGCCTGCCTTTCCCCAGGGGAATAGGATTACCATGAAGCAGGTTATTGCTCCTTTGGGCCATTGATATTGAGCTATTGTTGGCCACAGTTAACTTTTAAATTTGTGGTGTGAGATAACAGGAGAGCTTTATTAGGATTGCTCCCTGATGTGGCTGTGTCATAGCCATGCATATAAATAGCCAACATTTGTGGAGAATCTCTGTGTGCCTGGTGCTGAACTGGGTGCATTCTTTTTTTAAATAATTGTAACTTAATTTAATCCTCATAAGTGAAAAAATGGGCACTTGGGGACGCTGACCTGAGCATCGGGGTTGATTGAGTGTGGGCTGCAAAGCCCATACTTTTTACCATGTAGCAGCGCCTCCCTTTAGAGACAGAACATCATAGACACGGAGGGATACAACATTTTTCTGGCCCAGTGGTCCTCAAGCTTGGCCATGCACCAAAAATCATCTGAGGATATTATTGACAATAAAATTCCATGCCTCAGAGCCAGAGTCTTTGAGTCAGAATTATTGCATGCTTCCCAGGCTGTGGTCTATAGTTCAGCATTTAGAAATCGTTGGCTAGTTCACATTCTCTTCTGATACTTGAATCCCTGACTTAATATTTCTAGTGATAGGGAACCCATCATCTTTTGGTCGTTCTGTCTTGCATGACTTATCATGGTGCTAGCTTACTCAGAGATTTGGAGCCATAGACATGGAAGAGGCCACCTGATGGGCTCCCTGTAGATGCAGAATGAATTTCTTCTGCTGTTGTGTTGTAATGTCATGCCTTTAATTTAAAAAGGATTGTTTGGATTGATAGTTCTGACTACTGAGGAAATGCTCTTCAGTTAAAAATGCCTTCACTCCCAAGTGACTGAGAAAGTATTATTATTAAAGGAAGCTTTTACTTTTTGTCTTTAGGGGCTAATAAGCCACTCAATAATGTAATAATTGTGGGGGTGATGGTTGCTCTCATAAAATGGTGTTGAGAATATTCTCACCTCTGTTTTTCAGATATTTCTCAAAGTGGCTGAAGAGAGTGGGGTGGATGCTGAGACTTCAGGTAACCCTCTGGGGGAGCTGTATGCACTCTGGGCAGCACCCTCGGCAGGCTGTCTTGGCTCACCAGTACTGTGCCTTTCCCTTTGACTTGCTTTATCACATTCTTATTTTCAGTGTATACATCGTGACAGATGAGGAGGGTTAGTTTTGTTAAAAATAAAATGTGGAATCTCTTCATTTTGCCTTCAGATGGCACCTTGCCAGCAAGACGAAACAGACGGGCCTTTGGGGACAAGCAAAGCTGTCTTCGCCCATTCACTGAAGATGATGTCATTGATCCTAATGATTCTGATGTAGACCCAGGTCTGTTTGGGCAAGATTTGTATCCTGTTGTTAGAAAGCGAATTTCTGTCTTGTGTACTCCAACGTTTCCTTTCGATGGCTTTAAGCTCAGGATGATAGATGCATACAGGGTCCAAAGGGAAGGGGGAAGATGAGAAAAGCCACGTTCCCTTTTCTAGCATTGGGCAACCCATCAGTCCTGAAAGAACCTATCCTCATTGCTTTCTTCATTTAGTTGGGCTCTTTTTCTCAAGACAAATATAAAAGGATGCTGCCTCAGTCCTCTGAATTCATTTATTTTCTGTGGAGACCCGGCTTCTTGCATACATTAGGTGTTTAATTGTTAAATAAGTATTGTTTGAATGGTTGAAGGATCTCTAATAAGTCAGCTTTAAGAGTTAATTGCACCTTAGACTTAGATATTCTGGATGAGTGTGTCCCTGTGTGTTTGACTGGGATGGCGAAGGGGAGGCAAGAAGTCAAACAAATACTGTTAAGATGTTAAAGCACCTCAGTTAGGAATCATTAATGTAAGACCTGGATTTTGATACAGTTGTTCAGAGCAGAAACCTTTCTGGCTGTCTCAGTCCTGCTCACATGTGTGTGGCCCTCATGTTCTCCTTGACTTTATGCATTGTCAGTACTTAGATCATTTGAATGTGTCTACCTTTTACCAAAAACATAATGGATGGGAGACAGATCAGCATCGTGTGTTCTCAATTATGTCAGCCTAAATGCATGGCTGCATAGAATATTCTATGAGAAAGTGAGGATGACTTGGTTCATCTGAATGACTGTATGTAAAACAGTTTACATGTGAACACGTATTTTGCATTGTCTCAAGGTACCTTCATTTTCTGTACTCCTCAGACAAGAACTAGAAGGCACAAGCTGTTACTGTTGGACATTTGGAGTCCTAACTTTTCCTCAGACACAGATTTGTCCTGAAAGCCCTTTACTTTTGAGACACTTGTGCTTTCAAACACAAGCCTCCCAGATGGTTGCTGAGGATGTTGGAGGGAGGAGCATGGTGATGTCAAAACTGCCTAAGATAACAGGTGACCTTCGGTGTTGGCTTCTTATAGAATCCAGAGAGACAGACCTGCTCAGCGGGATGGACGGCAAAGGCTCCTACCAGGTGAAGGGCTGGAAACTCACACAGCAGCAGTTTGTGGCCCTTCTGTGGAAGAGGCTGCTGATTGCCAGACGGAGTCGGAAGGGATTCTTTGCTCAGGTAACAAGAGCCGTTCCAGGCCTGGGACTCTGGCTTCATGGGTGGGCTGCTGGCTCCCTGACCAGTGGAGGCAGGAGAGGGTCATGGTTAGAAGATGGATGCTGGGGCCAGACACTATTTCAGTCCCAGTACTGCTTCTTGGCATTCATGCGTCTGCGGGCAAGTTTCTTCTCTGCCTCCATCTAGTCCTCTTTAGAATGAAGATAACATACTTGCAACACAGGGCTGTTATGAGGATTAAAATGAGTAACTGCTTAGAATGGGGCCTGACATGGAGTGGTGCTATGTATATGTGTCTGTGAGTTTTACTGTAAAGGATTGTGGGAGAGAGGCAGAGTTCAGAAAAATTGCTGGGCACATTCAGTTTTCATAACCTGAGAAATGATACGTCCAGATGCACTTGATATATACATTTCTTGGAAATGTGATTTTTCTCTAAAAACTGCAAATTGACAACAAGGTAGCCACAGAGGAAAGAAAAAAAATGGGCAAACAGACTGAGAAGACTCACTACACTATTGTCTGCATGTGAGTGTTGGCTTGCTAAGTCACTTGCTCGGAAAGGATGAAATTACCCCACTCTATAAAATCAAGAAGTATAAAATCAAGAGATCTTCCCTATAGACTATGTGGATAATGCAGGAGAGTATGAGTTTGGAGATACAGACCTGGATTTGAATTATGGTTCTGTGACTTACTGGCTGTGTGACCTTGGGCACGTTACTTAGTCTCTCTGGGTTCAACTACCTTGTTCGTTGATTGGTGATGATGATACTACTACTTAGGGCTGTAACAATAACTAGATCATTGTCATGTATTTTCCCATAAAGAAGGATTTAGGTCTTGACGCATTTTGAGGCCATTATATGGTGACAGTGGCTGCTTTTTCCCTTTCAGAGTGGGATCTTACTGGGTCATTTAGTCTTGGTCCGCAGATTACAAGTGAGCACATGAGGCCACAGTGGGAAGTGACTTCACATGGATACGCTAAGAGTAGAGACAGAACCAGGTTTCAGGTCTTCGGACTCCTGGTCCAGGGCTTTTCTCTCAGCCTTTCTCAGAGCTGAGCTGGGCTCCTGGTCCAGTGTGGTCTTTGGTCTTCAGAGGGCAGAGGACAGGACCCTATGTTCTGAGTCACCCTGACATATGACTACTGTTTCCTCTGAAGTTTTTAGCTTGGGGCTTCTGCCAGGTGGCCATAGCCTCTGGCCTTGTGCTGCCAGCTTCCAGAAATGCCTGGAGGGAAGAGGTTTAGTTCTCAGGATCTGCTGCTTCTAACCTGCCATGAGTGCCTTGGTAGAGCTCTGCTGTGGGCCCTGTACTGCTCATTTGCATGTTGGCTGGTTTGGGAAGCTAGCTGGACTCTTAGGGGCTTGCCCTGTGCCCTTCTTTCTAACACTTGCCCTTGTTTTGCAATTTCCTTTCCCCTCTACCCCCTGGTTATAGATTGTCCTGCCAGCTGTGTTTGTCTGCATTGCCCTGGTGTTCAGCTTGATCGTGCCACCCTTTGGCAAGTACCCCAGCCTGGAGCTTCAGCCCTGGATGTACAACGAACAGTACACATTTGTCAGGTATGTGCTTGCCTTCTGCGCCCAGGGACAGAAGAGAGCCCAGACAGACCCAGGTGTTTACTGTGCTGAGGGCCAAGGGGAGGTGGACTCAAGAATGTGGATTTTATCAGGTGTCCCAAAGCCCCTGCACAAACTAATATTGGATGCAAAGAACAGCAGCGAATTCAACCTGAAATAATAGCCCTCTGTTGTCATATTTGAACTTTTCTCCTC